CCCCGAGGGACTTTTCTGCAGTACAAAATGTGAGATCTGATTTTCCATTTTATAATCAATGACTCTAGGAGGTACGAAACAGAGCAGAGGGACTTTCCATCTGTACATGACAATACCAAGACCAAGCTGGCATCTGCAGTAGGAGCAGCTTTCCATTGCTCAGGATGTACACAGCCCAGGGCAATGGAAAGGTTCATCCTACAACAATCAATCCCAAGGTACAGGGAAGAGGAAAAAAGTCCCACCACCTTAGAAAGGGATTTTAATTTATACTAAAACTACTTCCCAGTAATGTAATTAGGCGTAAAAGAGAATAATACATTATACATTGTACAACTTTATACTAGCATTTCTAGAACCATGAATTAGACCTTGGGAAGGGAATAATAAACCAAAACTCCAGGAAAATACCTAATTTTGCATTGTTCTTCTGAAGCAATGAACTTGAAGAAAATTTGCTGAAATAAATCTTCATTTACATCAGTTTCTAATGTGACAGAGTTTCAGTTCTTTGATTAAAATTTCACTGAAACACTTGGTAATTACTCTTAGAATTATTTACTGTAACACATAATCTAGACAAGAGCTCATAAATTAAGGTCTACAAATTGGGAAACTGCTTTTTATTCACCATATCCTCTCAAATCCAAATTATTATGAGGTAAACAGGAGTTCTTAGTAATTCCCTACCAACATTTCTGCATAGCTCTTAGGATCTGAACTGATTTCTCTTTTTTCTTTTTAATTTAATGGGCAACTTTCCATAGACAGTAATATGCCTGAATAAAGCCCTGGGAATCTCCAAATGTAGAATTACAGGTTTTCTCATTGAAGCCTGTAGCTATACAAGACCGTGTATATATATAAAATACTTTTTTTTTTTCTTGTTAAAGAGAGATTTCTCTTAAAGGAATGTGATCTGACAAAACTCAATTTTCCAAAACATTTAATATAGATCATTCTCATCCCTTGGAAATGAACTCTGAGAATTTACCCTTATAAAGGGGCTGAAAACCGAGAGACTATAAATGACAGTAGCAACAGACAAGAAGGATTAAGGACGACATCCCAAATTTAACTCAATGACTGGTTAAAAAGCAATAAGTGAATATTAGGTCACATCTTTGCTTGTATGTCAGCCCAATTAGGTTTTCAATACACTGTTGGCTTCTGCAAACATTTGAACACTTACAGAAAACACTAAGCTTTGCTATCAGCCTGGAAGAAATAAATCAAGACAGCATAAACTCGGGACTGGCTCTAGCTACTTCCCCGTGAAGGACTTGTACTTGAAGAACTATTTACTGAAGCTATTTGAGACTAGTTCTGGACCACAAATACAACGTTTTAGGCCCCTCCTCCCCCTGATTTGTTTGAAAACAAACTAAGAAAAATGAACAAATATATGGATTTTTTTGCTTTAATTATTTGCTCATTATCAAGGTTTCTATAGGCTAATCTTTCCAGGCCACTCCACAGTAAGGATCCAATGCATTACAACGGTCATTCAAACAAGTTAATAAAAGTATCAATAATGGATTATTTCCAGCAATAGCATATCCTGATTCTTGCTTTGTGCTTTAATCTTTTTGAAAACCTCATCCCTATTTAAGCCACTCACATATCTTGTGGCCTTGCCCATGCTCCCTCATCTGCAAAAATAATGTTGATTCTATCCAGACGCAGAAGACTTCTGAAATTCTTTCTCCTGTTTGCACGGGCTGCTTGAGCAGGTCCCTCCCATGGTCAGAGAAAGAAGAGAGGAGGAGTAAGCACCCAGACCTGGTCCATTTTGAGTGGTTTCACCTGGGTCACAGCCAGAACTAATAGAAGATCTTCCTTAAAATAGAAATTCAACCCCCCAAAAAAGTGAATTGTGACTCAATTTCATTATTTTCCTCTTGTTTTCATGTAGAAAGCCTGGCTGTTGCAGAAGAAAAAAGAACACCTTACAATCCCAGCCAAGGCAAGAAACTTGCTTGACTATTCAGTCAACTCTTGCAAACCTGATTTTTGGAAATGTAAGATTTCCGAAGATCTAAGGCTGCATTGCTCAAAGATGCTATTTAGACACAGTGCATTTGTAACTGTTTTCATTTAAACTACATTAATTTTGCAGGAAGACAACAAGTCACCATTTGAAATGAATACTAGGAGAGGCAAGTTTTATAGGAAGAGAGCGTGTTTTCCATTAGACCAAGAGCAAGAGCTGGAAAAGCCAGGCAAGCTTTTAAGCTAGGATGCCCTTCTTCATCAACAGAGCAGATACAATCTCTCCACAAAACCTTTCTCCTCTCCTCACACTGTAAATGCAAAACAAAGTGAGAAATTGAAATACCAAAGGCAAGGGATAGTCTGATGTTTCCAGGAGGAGATAGACGCTCAATCCCCAACCTCTCCTATTTTTAACAAATGAGCAGGCTCTATCTTAATGTGATAAGGCTGGAGAGGAATCTGACACGCAGATTTAATGTATTTGTTCAAGAGAAGTGGCACACTAATGGAAAACAACACCCTCATTTCAAGTCTTCCTAATCATTTACTGCAAAATCAATCTGACATTGATTTATGCATAAAATCGCTCCATTCCCTTCCATGACTCAAATAATTATAACTAAAAGAAGAGGACAGTAAAGAGAAGGTACTTGAGATGCTCAGCAATCAGTCCGTCACACCTTTTCAAAATATTTGATTTCGTATTCCAGGATGATGCCGTTGGGTCGATCTGGCTCCTGCCAGGAAAGGGAGATGCTATTTTTAGTTATCTTCCCTTTTTTCACACTACTGACTGGAGAAGGTGCTGCAAGACAGGAGAAAAACAGAACAGACAAAACCCAAGGTTAGTAAGATGGTCTGCCCCAGCCAAAGTCAAACTCATCAGTGCATCCTCAAACAAAAGGCGATCCTCATCTACTGCAGATCAGCAGGGTCTGTTTTCACCTTGGAGGCATTTGCCCATTTTTAACAACTGGACTCTCACAGATTTTCAGCAGCTGAGGATCCAACCAGCATTGCCCAGCCAAGACAAGTAACAACGTGAACTACCACCAGCAGTTTACACACCAACCTTGCCTTTTGAAGCACTTTTAAAACACATCAGCCCCACACCTTGCCTTTTCAAGTGTGTCAGGAGGCTACGTTATCAGAATTACCTATTGATTACATAGGGCTTTCTTTCAGCTGCTTTGAAGGTATGTGTTTTTCAGAAGACCTTAGAATACGTGGGCTCCATAACTATTTATTTTTTGGCTTGTGCAGTAGTTAAAGCCTAGGCATCATCTTTCGGCCCCTTCTTTACAGAAGCAAGGAACAGGGTAGCAAAGCCATTACAACCTTTATAATTCAATTGCTCTCCATAAATATCACTGGGGTGTTACAGCTCGCACAGTGATGCTAATTCCTTGCAAATGGCAACTGTAAAGATTTTAATGGCAATCAACGGTTTGGAAGTTCGCGGTGCGCTTGGGGAAGCCACAGCATGAAAGCAGCTATTCCAGCTCTGCTTACTATTTTAAGATGCAGCCCTGAAAGGTTATCTGCCCTTTGCAGCACACGTGTGCATCAGAAACAGGTTTGATCCTTTGTTTTCAGTCTGATATTTGCAGAGACTTTTCAAGTTGCGGCTGTTACCACCCCTGCCAGCTCCCTAGCAAAAGTTGCTATGGGCAATGCAACCCTAACGCCTCAGGTATGCCAGAGATTAGGAAACAACACTGAGTGAAAAGAAAAGGGGATGGGGGAAATTAATAGTCTCTAATTTACAGGGCCAAGAGCAGCTTCTCCAGAGGCAAAACCAGCTCATGCCTGGCTGAGAGCCTTCAACTCACCCTCTGGACAGGCCAGCTCTCAGCAAGGATTACAGGGGTGCTGGGGTGACCCATGGCAAAGACCTTTGTGGCCATATGGGCAACTGAATGCAAAGAGCAGTAGCAAATGATCATGTTTTATCTTCCAAAATGTATTTGGAACTATTAAAAAAAAAACAAGACTCCTCCTATATGCAGGACTACCTAATCATCACAATACTAAAATACCCCAACCCATTAAGCAAAACAAAGACAACAAAGTCACTTTGCCAAGTCTGACTGTCACCCAAAAAGAGTAAGGGAAGAGCTCCAGACAATTATCCCTCGACTGAAGGCTAGTAGTGAGCCTTCTCTTTTAAAGCAAGCTCCTGCATCTCAGTCTTTTTTTCAGACCCAGTTTTCCTCGCTCCTGTTTACTAATCTCTCCTTCAGTTGGCTCTTGGAGGATCCTGAAAGGTGTTGGCCATTTCCATATTGTTTTCTGCTGGAGAGCTGGCATCAAGCTGCACAGACAACGCTTGCTTTTTAGCTGTGCATCCACCACCATGCTCACAACTGCTCCACTGAGAAAGAAAAAACCACCTTGACTTGAATGATGATCATGTTATTTATGTAGGCACCACACTGTGATCACCAACAATTTTTCATCCGCAAAAGTCACCTTACCCTTGGCTGATGTCCTGCACAATTTTTTGGGCTATGCGAAGGTGAATAACAGCCTAGACTCAAACTGCTAATCTGGTACAGGACTTTCCATTAATTAATCCAGGTGCCTAAATATGTGTTGTGCATGCACATGCACAGCAAGTTGAGTTGTGCATGTGAGATATATATTGTCTGTGCACACGTGTGTGGCCAGATGTGTTAGCCCAGACAAGACATAGTGAGTAGTGAACTTCTTTAAAATAGGATGAACTTAATGCAAAGGGAGCTACATGGTTTTCAGAGACATCGGAAAACAAGTCTCACTGTGGAGTGGTGGTGCCAAATAAAAGGCTATTATACAACCCTAGCTAAACAGACAATACTGATCACTTTTTATCATGAGCAACTCGGATGCTATATATAGGGGATGGAGACACCAAAGTACTCAGAAAAAGGGACTTGTGCCCCTCTGGGACTGTTCTCCAATGCCCCCAATTTCTTGCAACGCCTATCCCAGGCTTGTAGAGCTGGAAGCAGAGGTCTAGCAGGACGGAGAAAGTCAGAACTGAGCATTAAACCTTTTTAAACTCCTACTAGCAAAAGCAAACTTGAGAAGTGCAGCAAGGGGAGACCTCAGCCCTCCCTGGTATTGAACGCCTCTCAGGAAGGCAAAAACCATGCAATTCTCAGTGTCAAGATCGCCTGACCAAATAATGGACTTTTCATCCACTTTATTGAGGTTTCCTGAAGTGTTTATACGACCAAGGCTCACAAGTGCTTTAAAAACAAGAAATCAGTGCAAGTACTCCTGAACTCACCCGCAAAATCTTCCCCTGTGAGGTTCAGAGGAGTTTAGTTCTCCTTCAAGTGCATCAATACAGTATAACACAAAAGGCACAACCAGCCATCCAAAAGCGCCCGTCAAACTCCCTATTCCCCTAAAACAAAGCATCCTGTTTAAAAAGTAGTGTGTAAAAAACTTGGCTAGTTAGTTAACAGCATCATGGACTTCAATCTCTTGCCATGCAAGTATCTAACATGTTCAATCATGGCTCTGCAGAATGCTCTGCTCTACCGGGAAAAGGAGGGAAGATAAGAAAATGAGTAACCCAACTCTCAGAGTAAATTAGAAAAGGAGTAACTGTATCCTTTTTGAATCTGCTTCAAAAGAAGCGTTAAAGTGTAACTGTGAGATAAAGGCCAATTAAGTAAATTCAATAAATCCCAGCGGTGCTGGGATGATACGGCAACTGCTCTGCATCCTCAACACATGGAGACTACAATGCTCTGAACTGAAGGAAGGAAGGTATAAGTATTTTAGAGTTTTCTTTGTCAAACAAAATGTAATCCAATCCAGGCAAGTGGACAAAGTCTGCAATCATTCCATCTTAAAAGCCTGCAACTGGATACTGTGCTATATGATCTCAGTAAAATAAAAGGATTACTTGAGACATGCTTTTCAAAGGTCACTGCTTCTGCAAGGGCAGCATCCTCTTAACAGAAAGAAGTCAAGCCACGGAGCACTCCCATTTGGAGTACAACATGTAAAAGAATAAATTCAGGTAAGAATCAAGATATAAAAAGCTGCAATTTCCCATGTTTCTTATGTAAGCAGGCAGAAGTCTTGTTCAAATCCCTGCCTTGACACTACAAAGGGCAGATGTACGTCGTGAATTGTTCACATGTTGCTTTACAAGTAATCTGCACATATGCATTAATTTCTCAGCAAGACACTCAAAATCAAAGAGGGATATTACATCATTTATGTTTATGTTTGCCATTCATGAAAACAGCCATGCGTGTGATGAAAGCAAACAGAAGACGTAACAAGGTGTGAAATTGCTAATGTACATTTTTGCTTTCCTGAGACCAAAATTAATCAGGAAGCAAATAAAAGCACAGAAAACTGATTCTACCTTTTTTTGTTCTGTTTCTAACATTTCTTAAGAAGAATAAGGGGATGTACCAAATACATAAATTAAAGTTTCTGCAGAATATGCATCATTAGTCACATCTGAATAACTACAGGAGATGATTTCTTGAGGAATAGACCTTTTAGGACATTCTTCCTCTGCAACCTTTGATAATGACATTAGCACTGAATTAGCCATTGAGGCACCAAACCCAGTATTTACAACATACTGCGCTGTGTCCCTCTATCGTCTAACATATAATGATGCTTAGTGGAATAAAATGTTAATTATATTTTAAGAGAAACTAATGTTATCAGGTGAATGACCACTGCACCAAGATAAAACAAATAATCCAGTTTCTACATGTCATGGTCTATCTAATGCTCTCTCCAGCCCAATTACTATTGCCTTGGTATTTTTCACTCTGGCAGAAACAACAGCTAATGGCGCCCCATCTCACCCTTAGATGCACAACCAGTGAAGTTTTCCACTTCTGATTGAAAAAAAAACCAAAACCAACCAACCAAACAAAAAACTAGCTCCCTTTCCCCTCGGTACAAAAACCAAGTGGCCAGCCCAGAACCTGCAATACAGCGTTAACTTCTGTCAGGACAGATCATCACTTGGAGCAACCTGGATCAGCCCAGGAAGAGAGGCTGATTTACACAGGCAAAGGGGCTGGCACCTCTCCTTCCTTTGGCTCTCCAGGTACCTGGGATTCAGGTCCCCTTCCAAAGACAACCAAGGCATCAAAGAGGAAGATTCTGCTGCTACCATTTCTGTCCTGGCTGCTGTCACAGACATCTAAGACATAGACATCTATCCAGGCATCACCTTTTATAGACATCTATGCTCTGGATTTTCATATGTTTTTCATGTGTTTACAATTCCTTTTACTGTTATTACATTCCTGCATGTGCAAATGTTTGGGATCTAACACTTCAGACCTCACAGCGCACCTTGGGGTTCCTCCCTCCATGTGATGCCACTTTTTTTTGCAGTCTGAATTTACGCCAAAAGATTTAAAAGCCAAATGCATGCTTGAGATTAAATCAATAACTTCACCTGTCATCATACAACCAAAAAGTTATCCTATCATTAAACCTGCCTTTATAAGTGCATTAATTGAAGAAAATGAAACCTGTCTCAGAAGAGTAACCACAAGACAAGTAATTCTGGTTCCACTGCAAAAGCCTGGTATACTGGAATTTTTCACTCAGTTCCTACTTAATGACATCATTGAAATTTTTTTCTCAGGCCTTTGGTGACTTCACAGTTTGGAGCAAGCCCTGCATTATTCACCAAGTCACACTAAAGGCACATGAAATTGCAGGCGACTTCAAGCAGTAGATTGATTTTAAACAAGATACATACCTTAGTTAAAACAGAAACACTGTTTTGAGAAGAAAAAAAAGATTTAAAAAAAAAGACTTCAC